CAACTTCTTGAATATTATCGGTGGTTCACTACTACTACTACTAGTAGTAGTAGTAGTAGTAGTAGTAGTGGTAGTCAACAATTGACGATAGATTTTCAAAACTGATACATCAGTAGATCCATCATAAAATGTTTGGCAATTCAATGACACTAATTGAGTACATTTACGGATATTTTTTGGCCAACAATTCGTCCAACTTTAGGCAATCATAATAATAGAAACAAATTGTTTGCAATTGATTAGCAAATATTGTAAACAAATCGCCGATTAGTTTAACCGATAGTTCATCTATTGTGTCGATATTAAGATATATGTGCCGCAACTGCGGACAGTAGCGGATATTAAACAACAAAAACGGTGTCTCTTCGCGAAAATAAAATAAATCGAGTCTAAAGTGTGTAATGTTTGGACACTTTGACAGCAGTTTGGCCAACGAATCGCCGTTTATTTGCCAAAACTCTGAACTAAATCTAATCTCTTTGATAGTCTTCGGTATCAATCGTTGCCATTGTTTGAACACACATTCAAGTCTTAGTTTGTCATCAAATGTCAGATAAGACAACAATAGTTCAGTCAAATCATCGCCGAAACGATCAAATGATTGTCGACTATCTTCTTCTTCTGTTGAATCAGTTTTTAAAGACATTTTCATTGCAATCAATTGACAACTCATCTCATCATTTGATGCCATACTTGAAGATAATAATAATAATTTTTGTCTAAAAAAGTCAATTCAAATAAGTCTTGTATTGAATAATAAGTGATATTTTTTTTATTTAATAAGTGATTTAAATTTAACACTAATGTAATTGTAATGTTTAAATGCATTATGTAGTCAATGAATAGACAAAAAACAATAATTGTTTTTTTTTAATCAAAACTAATATAACTAATTAGTATTGGTTTTATTTATATTTTATTTATTTATAGTAATAAAACTTTTAAAAATAAAATAAAAATATTGTTTTTATTTGTCTATTCATTGACTATATAATGCATTTACACATTAAAATACAATGATATGCAATGGTATTAATGGTCTTAAACTGATAGCCTATAAGACATCCTATAAAAAAAAATTGTTTAAATTATCCAATATTTTGATTTTGCTTTTATTGAAACAGTTTTATATTGAAATATATATTTTAATTTAATTAATTGTAATAATTTAAAAAATAAATAAATTTTAAGGTGTATATATATGATACTTTATTAAATAACTATTTTTTATAAATGTAATATTCAATAATACATTTTATTTTATATTACATCATCATCAAATTGTACATGTACATTTTATGAGTTTTTAATAAAAAAAATTAAAGTTATATAACTTATACAGTATAATATAAGCATATATATAGTGCTGCCATTTAGTGTGTTTATAAATATTTTTATTATTATTATTATATTAAAAAAAGTTTTTATTGTCAATAAATATTAATTAATTAATTATTTGTTTTATCTTATCATTTATATTATAATAATAATTTATATTTAAAAAAAACAATAATATATATCATTTCATATAATTTGTTTATACTTTAATTTATATGTATTTATTATTAACAAAAATAAATAAATAAATAATATATTAAAAAAAAAATTTCAAAAGTAGACATTTTATTAAAATCAAAATTTAATACATTTTTAATTATTTATGTTTTTTAAGTAATTGATATTTATTTAAATAACTTTTTAATTTGTAGTCTATTTGTGATAACGATAGTAAATTATTAGGATATTTTATTTATTTATTTTTAAAAAATGATAATAAAATAAATATAAAACTTTTTATTGTAATAATTAAATACATATATATATATCCTTAAGTTGAGTTTAACTGTTATAACTGTATTAACTGTTTAGTTGAATATAAATATTTATTTTAAAAAATACTTTAAAGTACAGTATAAAGTAATTAAAACAAAATTTATTTCAATATTTTAATCATTTATTATACGGTATACCTATAACTGGTTTATTACAGACATATTTATCGGTAAAAACTTATTTTTTGATGTTTTGAATTATGTAAATATTTTTTATACTACTTTATGTCCATTAATAATAATTTTCTGAATTTTATCCATACTTTTAATTGGATTCAAATCAATATCATTGTCGTCGACATTGTTTAAGTCAATTGAACGCAATTGTCGTAATCGTTGCAATGATTTCAATGTCTGTGAATCGATGCGATAACCGTTTGATTTCAAGTATTGAAGTCGCGGACAGTTAGCGACAATATTATCGATTAAGTGATCGGTTGTCGTCGATATAGGATTTGAATAATTATAATAATCATAATAATCATAATAATTATAATAAATGGGATAATTATAATTGATTGACAAATGTGTTAACAGTTTGAGTCCATTCATCCGATGATTGTTTGATATAATCAAATCATTTGTTGAATACAATGACAATCGCTTTAAATGTTTAGAGTTATTATTATTTGAAATTATATCCAATAAACTAAAATCAGATTTCTTCTCCTGAAAACAATATTTGATAACAATTGTCAACCGATTCAATTGGCAACAGTTTTGGCCAATTGGTGGCCAAAGTTCAGCGAATTGTGTCCATTGATTTCCAATTACTTTGATCTGTAAATCCTGTAATTTTGTCATTTGTGACAAACCAGACATAACTGCGGCAAAGTCGACGACATCATTGATATTATTGAATACAACAGTCATATACAATAATACTATAATATATATATATTTATTCTTTTAAAATAAAAAACACTTTTAAAAAATAGTAAAACAAATATATGTTAAAATTGTTTTTTTTTAAATACAATTTTATATTAAAACTTTGTTTAAATTAATAATAATTTTATTGATTTTGCCAATAGTTTTAATTGAATTCAAATCAATATCATTGTCGTCGTCGACATTGTTTAAGTCAATTGAACGCAAATGTGTTAATCGTTGCAATAATTTCAATGTCTGTGAATCGATGCGATAACCGCTGTATTTCAAGTATTGAAGTCGCGGACAGTTAGCGGCGATATTACTGATAAACTGATCGGTTGTCGACATAATAGGCTTTGAAATGATTAACAAATGTCTTAACTGTTTGAAACCATTCATCATCTGATGATTATTGTGTGAACCAATCAAATCAATAGTTTGATTAATATTATTCAAATTCAATCGTTTTAATTGTTTAAAATTCAAGCAAATAGTCTCTAATAAATTGTTATCATTTTCATCATAGATCTCGATATTAATCCACAAACTCTTCAATCGTTGACATTTACGACCAATTGGTGATAACAGTTGAGGCAATTGTGGCCAATAAGTGTGGCCAACATTAAAGTCTTCGATAGTTAAGTCCAACAATTGTGTCATTAGTGCTAAACTAGACATAAATGTCTTAATGTTGACGACATCTTCGATATCAGTGATATCCGTTGACAATGATTTCAATTGTCTGGCATATAGTCGGACAATATCATTGAAAATATCTACATATTGTTTATCAAATAATTTGATTCCCAATTTGGTTAGTTTCTTGAATATTAGCGGTTCAGTAGTAGTCAACTGTCGATACAATTGAAGATTAGATTCAATGCAATCGTAAGTTAAACAGTTAAACGACAATAGATTTGTACACTTCTGGAGATTATTCATCAAACCATCAGTTAGTTGTTGCCATTGATTACAGTAGACATAGATTGTCGACAATTGTTTGGCCATTAATGCTAACAACTGTTCAATCATTGTTACCCATTGGTAGTCATTGGGTAGTCTCTCGTAAAACATGTCGATATAGATGTGTTTCAATCGGTGACAGTATTGTCTAATGTATGGTAACAATAATGAGTTCTTTGGCAACCATTGACTTCCTCTGATGATAATGACTGCAATATTTGGACACTTTGACAACAGTTTGGCCAACGAATCGTCGGTTATTCGCCGAAACTCTGAACTAAATCTAATCTCATCGATAGTCTTCGGTATCAATCGTTGCCATTGTTTTGAAACCGATTCAAGTCTTATCTTATCTTTTAATCTAAGATAAGACAACAATAGTTCAGTCAAATCATCGCCAAAACGATCAAATGATTGTCGACTTTCTTCTTCTTCATCTTCTGTTGAATCAGTTTTTAAAGACATTTTCATTGCAATCAATTGACAACTCATCTCATCATTTGATGCCATACTTGAAGAGACAGATAATTATTTTTGTTGTTTAAAAAATCAATTCAAATAAGTCTTATATTAAATAATAAGTGATTTTTTTAATTACTTACAAATTGATGACACAATAAGTGATTTAATAATATTATTATTATTTAGTAATGAATTGCAAATCAAAACAATTAATAAATATTTTGTTTGTTTTGTGTTTTTGTTGTGAAAATTAATGAAAACACTAATCAATTGATTACTGAAATACAGTATTCACTCATTATATTGATTATTATTAATTACTAATTAATAATAATTAACACTTGTTTTATTAACACTAGATTTTCCGAGATTTCTTTTGTCATTTATATGTATTTATTGTTAGCAAAAATAAATAATATATTAAAAAAAAATTTCAAAAGTAGACATTTTATTAAAATCAAAATTTACTACATTTTTAATTATTTATGTTTTTTTTAAGTAATTGATATTTATTTAAATAACTTTTTAATTTGTAGTCTATTTGTGATAACGATAGTAAATTATTAGGATATTTTATTTATTTATTTTTAAAAAATGATAATAAAATAAATATAAAACTTTTTATTGTAATAATTAAATACATATATCTATCCTTAAGTTGAGTTTAACTGTTATAACTGTATTAACTGTTTAGTTGAATATAAATATTTATTTTAAAAAATACTTTAAAGTACAGTATAAAGTAATTAAAACAAAATTTATTTCAATATTTTAATCATTTATTATACGGTATACCTATAACTGGTTTATTACAGACATATTTATCGGTAAAAACTTATTTTTTGATGTTTTGAATTATGTAAATATTTTTTATACTACTTTATGTCCATTAATAATAATTTTCTGAATTTTATCCATACTTTTAATTGGATTCAAATCAATATCATTGTCGTCGACATTGTTTAAGTCAATTGAACGCAATTGTCGTAATCGTTGCAATGATTTCAATGTCTGTGAATCGATGCGATAACCGTTTGATTTCAAGTATTGAAGTCGCGGACAGTTAGCGACAATATTATCGATTAAGTGATCGGTTGTCGTCGATATAGGATTTGAATAATTATAATAATCATAATTATAATAATTATAATAAATGGGATAATTATAATTGATTGACAAATGTGTTAACAGTTTGAGTCCATTCATCCGATGATTGTTTGATATAATCAAATCATTTGTTGAATACAATGACAATCGCTTTAAATGTTTAGAGTTATTATTATTTGAAATTATATCCAATAAACTAAAATCAGATTTCTTCTCCTGAAAACAATATTTGATAACAATTGTCAACCGATTCAATTGGCAACAGTTTTGACCAATTGGTGGCCAAAGTTCAGCGAATTGTGTCCACTGATTTCCAATTACTTTGATCTGTAAATCCTGTAATTGTGTCATTTGTGACAAACCAGACATAACTGCGGCAAAGTCGACGACATAATTGATATTATTGAATACAACAGTCAATCCAAGCAATCGTCGGCCATATTGTCGGACAATATCATTGAAGATATCAACCATTACTTTGCCATAGATATTGATCTCAAGTTTTGTTAAATTCTTGAATATCATCGACGGTTCAATACTACCACTACTWGTAGTCAACAATAATTGTCGATATAATTGTGGCACTGATTTATAGTCGTTACCCACAGCTGTACTACAATTAAATGACACGATGTTTGTACAGCCGTGAAGATTATCACCCAATACATCGTACAGTTGATCCCAATAAGTATGTCTCATATGAATTGTTAGCAATTGTTTGTCAAATACTTTGAAAAATTTATTATTGATTTTCATCGATCTTTTCAAGTGTTTGTTGTAGTCGTGATAGCGATAAGTATCCAAATAAMTGTGTCTCAGRTTTGGACAGTTGTGGCGAATGGATGGCAATAGTAGTGTATTATAAGTTAACAAACGATAACTATAGGAGACTTTAATACATGAAATATTTGACCACTTTTTCAACAGTCTATCAATAGTTTTGGCAGACTTTCCGTTAAATTTTCCGTCAATTATTAGCTCATCGATAGTCAATGATATCAGTCGTTGCCAATGTTTGGACACCGATTCAAGTTTTAGTTTGTCATCAAACGGCAGATAAGACAACAATAGTTGTGACAAATCATCGCCGAAACGATCAAACGATTGTCTTCTCGTGAAATCATTGCTTCTTAAACTCATATTGTTTACCATCGATGACAAACTTATCGCTTCAATTGATCCCATTATCTGAATGATAATAATAATTAACAATTAAATCAATTTAAAACAATGTTTTAATTAAAGTGTGATTTTTTACTTACAAATTGATGACACAATTAGTGATTTAAATATTATTATTATTAGTAATGAAGTGAAAACACAAAACAATAAATATTTTTTAAAAAATTTAGTGTTTTTTTTGTTAAACTTTTTTTGAAACACTAATTGAATGGAAAATAAGTGAAACACTGATTGAATGAGTGATTGATTTGTTTGATTGACTGTCACTTAAATAGTCAGCAAATCATTGATAGACAGACAGTGTGTTTGTGTGTGTATTGTATGGGTTTTGGTGTGACATCTAATGGACACAAAATAAAACGTTGAAAACAATATGTATTAACTTATTAATTATTATTATTATTATTATCATTATTTATGTTATAATATTTATTATTATTATAATTATTTATTAAATATTAATTATAGTTTTAATTTTATAGCAATATTGTGTTTAAATCCCAAATATAATTAATAGTTTATAACCTTTATATATATATATTGTAATATTACTGTATAGTAAACTAAATTACAAATTGTATTATAATTTACAATATTAATAGAATATTTAATTTAATTATTATTTAATTTCTAATTAATAGTAGAAATATATTTAATTACTAATAATTGATTATAATAGAGTTAAATGCAATTATTTATTTATTTTTTTTTAAAAAATAACTAATAAATATAAATAATATTTTAAATTTATAACTACCGGTAGAAAAATAAAAATGTCTATTATTTCAATAGATATGATAACTACTGATAATATTTATACTTTTTAAAAAACAAGTTTCAAACAATTTATTAATAATTTTAAACTTTATTATCAATTATTAAACTTTATTTATTATTACTATTTATTTAGTTCAACAATTTTTTTTAACAAAATAAATGACATTAAATAACATTAATATTTAAGAATAATTTTCTCGATTTTATCATTATATATATATATATATATAAACAAAGTTTTTATATTTAAACAAAGTTTTACCGTATAAACCCGCAAATAGCCCCCCATGGCCATATGGGGCTATATGTGGAAATGTGGGCAATAAGTGAAAAATAGCCCCCCACCAAAAGTTGATTTGAATAAAATCACAAATAGCCCCACTATCGAAAATATTGTAGTTTTTTTTGAATGTGTATATACCCCCTCATGCCATCTATTGACCGGTCAGTGTCTAAACTAAAACTATTAATTATAATAAACTGTAAATTTTAAGTTTTTTAAAATAATTTTTCAATTCAATGCTATTATAGTGTATTTAAATGCTTTGTTTAATAAATGTTGTTAACATTATTTATGTTATGACCGATATATATGTATGACTAAATGACTGTATGACTGTATGACTGTATGACTACATGACTATGTATGACATCATCACTATGTATGACTGTATGACTGTATGACTGTATGACTACACGACTGTATGCCTACGTAACTATGTATGACCTCATGTATGACTGCATTACTATATGTATGACTATAGAAACGATTCCTTTTCCTGTTATACATTCAGGCACTCCATTGTTGTTGTCATCAAAGTTATTACCACTTCACGTGAGCAATGACTGAACAAATCAAATACTTTGATTCATCTGATCGGTCGAATTATGTCGTAAGTGCTGAACACATCAATTCCCACAATTGTCAACATTATCTCATCACTGGTTATAAAATGTGATTATGGATGTGGTGCGGGGTTCCCATTAATAGACCGGTCATTACATTTGGCCATTTGTGGATCAGTTCTCTGTGAGCGCTTCAAGTTTTCGATTAATGAGTTCCCTGTTCACCACTGATATTTTTGTTGGAACAAGCACGGATAGCTAAAGAAATTGAAGATCGACAGGTGGCCACTGAAAATCCCAATCAAACAATTGAATTGGCTGAACAGCCCGCCGGCCCGTCAAATGAAGCAATCATACAGATCGATGACCCGTCAAATGAAGACATCTATCAGATCGATGGCCCGCCATATGAAGACATCAATAAGATGGCTGACTCGTAAAATGATGCCACAAATCAGATCGATGGCACGTCAATTGCTGACACCAATCAAATCGATGACATCGTTATTTATTTATGCGGCCATAATAGCCATGGATTTAGTTCTTGTTAACTACCCGGATAACCGTTTGAGAAACAAAACAGCTTTCGTGACGCCATGATCTTATTGTTAGTCGTGTCCGTCAATCAGCATTTGCCGATCTTCTACAGACAGCCGGTCCTCAAGTCAACGATTTTATAAACGCCAACAGACCGGTCATTACGGCCAACATTTCAAGAATTTGTTTTAAGTTCAGAAATCGGTATTATTAACTGATACTTACCGTACAATACTTGTAATAAATAATTTCCCGATAATTCATATTTTTTTCATTATTAATAATTTATGCAATACATTTAAAAATATTTTTTTCTATATTATTTAAAATTATTTGATTTATAAATATTTAAAATTATTTGATTAATAAATGTTTTATTTTATTTATTTAATACATAATCCGTATAACAATCATAGCTTATTACACATCATTACATATTTTTTTATTTATTAGACCGATCTTATATATATAACCCTTTCCCCAATCGTTCCTTCCCCCACGACTTCACATATAGCCCCAGTAGGGGGGCTATATGTGAAAAATAGCCCCCTACCAAATTTTGATTTTAAAATTTTAAAAAACCGTCAGGGGGGGCTATATGCGGGTCTATACGGTAATATAAAATTATATTTAAAAAAAACAATTTAAACATATGTTTGTTTTACTATTTTTTAAAAGTGTTTTTTATTTTAAAAGAATAAATATATATATATATATATATATATATATATATATTCATTGATTATTATATTAAAAATAATTTTAAAAAATTACAAAATATATTGAAAACACAAATAATTTAATTAAATAATACTATAATATATATATATTTATTCTTTTAAAATAAAAAACACTTTTAAAAAATAGTAAAACAAATATATGTTAAAATTGTTTTTTTTTAAATACAATTTTATATTAAAACTTTGTTTAAATTAATAATAATTTTATTGATTTTGCCAATAGTTTTAATTGAATTCAAATCAATATCATTGTCGTCGTCGACATTGTTTAAGTCAATTGAACGCAAATGTGTTAATCGTTGCAATAATTTCAATGTCTGTGAATCGATGCGATAACCGCTGTATTTCAAGTATTGAAGTCGCGGACAGTTAGCGGCGATATTACTGATAAACTGATCGGTTGTCGACATAATAGGCTTTGAAATGATTAACAAATGTCTTAACTGTTTGAAACCATTCATCATCTGATGATTATTGTGTGAACCAATCAAATCAATAGTTTGATTAATATTATTCAAATTCAATCGTTTTAATTGTTTAAAATTCAAGCAAATAGTCTCTAATAAATTGTTATCATTTTCATCATAGATCTCGATATTAATCCACAAACTCTTCAATCGTTGACATTTACGACCAATTGGTGATAACAGTTGAGGCAATTGTGGCCAATAAGTGTGGCCAACATTAAAGTCTTCGATAGTTAAGTCCAACAATTGTGTCATTAGTGCTAAACTAGACATAAATGTCTTAATGTTGACGACATCTTCGATATCAGTGATATCCGTTGACAATGATTTCAATTGTCTGGCATATAGTCGGACAATATCATTGAAAATATCTACATATTGTTTATCAAATAATTTGATTCCCAATTTGGTTAGTTTCTTGAATATTAGCGGTTCAGTAGTAGTCAACTGTCGATACAATTGAAGATTAGATTCAATGCAATCGTAAGTTAAACAGTTAAACGACAATAGATTTGTACACTTCTGGAGATTATTCATCAAACCATCAGTTAGTTGTTGCCATTGATTACAGTAGACATAGATTGTCGACAATTGTTTGGCCAATAAAGCTAACAACTGTTCAATCATTGTTACCCATTGGCTGTCATCGCGTAGTCTCTCGTAAAACATGTCGAAATAGATGTGTTTCAATCGGTGACAGTATTGTCTAATGTATGGTAACATTAATGAGTTCTTTGGCAACCATTGACTTCCTCTGATGATAATGACTGCAATATTTGGACACTTTGACAACAGTTTGGCCAACGAATCGTCGGTTATTCGCCGAAACTCTGAACTAAATCTAATCTCATCGATAGTCTTCGGTATCAATCGTTGCCATTGTTTTGAAACCGATTCAAGTCTTATCTTATCTTTTAATCTAAGATAAGACAACAATAGTTCAGTCAAATCATCGCCGAAACGATCAAATGATTGTCGACTATCTTCTTCTTCTGTTGAATCAGTTTTTAAAGACATTTTCATTGCAATCAATTGACAACTCATCTCATCATTTGATGCCATACTTGAAGAGACAGATAATTATTATTTTTATTGTTAAAAATAAATTCAAATAAGTCTTGTATTAATAATAAGTTATTGTTTATTACTTACAAATTGATGACACAATTAGTTATAATAATAATATTATTTTTATTTAGTAATGAATTGAAAACACAAAACAATTAATAAATATTTTGTTTTGTTTTTTATGTGTTTTTGTTGTGAAAACTAATGAAAACATTAATCAATTGATTGATTGAAATACAAGTATTCATTGCATTCATTCATTGATTGCATTAATACTTAACCCAAAACAATGCATTTATAAAAAATTGTCTCACTTTGTGTGCTAAACCAAAACAAKAGCAGACGCACCATAACAAGTACATAGATTATCATAGATTACACTTACATATATACTGTACATACAATAACTATGCCTTGTAAAGACTCCGCCCCCTTAGYATTAGACTTTATAATATTGCGCGCATATATATATACTAGGGCTGTTAGATTCCGGCAAAATATATAAATGAACATTGATATATTATATACAGTATTAAAAAATATTATACATACAAAATTTTATATATACAAAAAATAATATAATACATTGAAATATATATATAATTATCCACTGTTTAGTTATATATTTATTTTAATCACTTTTTAAATAACACAATTTAATTATAAACTAATTGTAATTATTAATTTATTTATTGTTATTTATAATTTTTTAGTTACTGTTGTCTACATATATTGTATACTAAATATCTACATAATTGCTTGAATTGTTTATCACAAAAATAGCACATTTAATATATTGTTTTTGTTAAACATTTTAAAAACACATCAAACAGTCATAT